TCATGATGACATTGGCCGTTCCGTCAATATCTACAGGTGCAATCTGACCGGTAATAGCACAGACTCTTGGCTGATTTCAAGTCCCCTGACCACGCCTCTTCCGGATTTTCGTGGCACAGCACCATTTTCATCCACATTGCCCCGTCCATTTCTCGGCGCTCACTATGCATTTCTTCATTTAAAACAGATCTCTAATTGATGAAACTCTAACCAGCGATTTGGCAAAGATACTGTGGTCTGTCCCCACAAAGTAATTGCTGCGGTGGAACTGCATTAAAGTTAAGGTTGGTACTGCTAAGTGAAGCGCTTCTTTGTTCCACCTAGAAATGCCAAGGTGCTGTGATGTGGACATTACTGGCTGCAAGTGTACCCAATTTTATCCAGTTGGCGACTGCTTGAGTTTTGGATGCTAATATCCATTTCGGACACTGTTGGCTACGCAGTAGGTTGCATAATCCTGCAGGCTCAGATAAATCAATTAAATCATTTTTGGTCACGTTTACCAATTGCTTCGGTCACGATTCCTGTGTTCGCTTGGTATTTGCCACAAGCAATTTGAGTGATTTCGGATGTTTAACAAACGTCAGATTCGATGCAGTTATACAGCGATGGATTACTTTGATCACATATAAAAAATTGACGAAAAGTGGGGAAACACAATGCACTAAGTCAAGGCGACACGATAATCACAGTTAAGTGACACAACTTTTGATTACAAAAGAAAAACTTGGAGGCTACTTAAGGTAGAAATCACATACATTAAATATTTCCATAATGGGGGCTGGATTCTAAGCCAAAATAATGGGAATCAAAGCAAAAAGTGAAACTAATAATAGTCATATGTATTCATCAAAAGTCTATTTCTCTGTCAAAATATGTATAAATCTGGTATGGAAAAAACCGATACCACAAAGAACCCCTTATATGTATTTACCAAGGAGGAATACCTTTGATTGCCACCTACCCGAGAATCTAATTCAGACTGCATTACCATTTATACAGTGCATCTATTCTACCCCTATCTCTGGTAACCCGCTGATGTTCCTTGTGGGCAATTTAAACGAACAGAGGAAGAGTATCGGTTGAACTCGTCTCGATCAATCATTTTTGCGACACTTTTTCGGCACTACATCTGTGTGGAATACCTGAGCAGTAATATGAAGAAGAATAGTACTAGACAAGCTTTTCGCACTTATCACAAGTCGGGATCATGCATCAGGGAAAGCCCATTCGAGCCCATCATACTGGCAATGCAGTCAGCAATACAGGTCATTCGTCCTTGTCTCTGATTGGCAGCTGAGAGTCTACGTAGGCCATTCAAAAGACCAAAGACAAACGATTAGCTGAGTTTAGTGGAACCCAACATGTCTGCGCTCTATTTTTTTGCAACATTCCATGTGCTTGACATCGTAGGCTAGCTGTCGCCTTCTTGTGCATTGAATCCTCTTTGTACCTAGCTGGTTCCGTCTACTCCTTATCACATTTGTGTAAGTGGATCACTGGCTGTCGTTTCAATTTGTTCGGTTGGGATACTGAGGTATAAATAAGGGTTTCCCGGCCTTAGGATAATTCACTCAAGCTTTCCATTTAAAAATGTTCTTTTTCGATATAATTACTATTGTTCTCTCGCCGTAAATAGCAGATAAATTACCAATTTATGTTTCCGATTTATAAGATTAAACCGTTTGAAAGTGTGCAGTGAAGTTGTACTCATCATGTTCCGTCCCCTGTGTTGCTATGCATTTTCAACATTTTTTTCTGGCGGCTTTAAAGTTTAACGTAATGTACCTTTCGTATTTGAAAATTTGAGTTTTCTGAACTTTGTTGTTTAATGTCTTAAGGTATATCACATACTTTGCATTACTTTGAGTTTGTACACGTCATGCATAACAATGCCACACATCTATGCCACTAGAATTTTCGACATTTCCTAGAATTCGGTTTATGTGAGAGTTTTGCCCAGGGAGACTGATTAGTTAAAAGTATTACGATGATATTGCCTTTCTTGTACCGGTCTCAGTAACGATTTTTACAACTAATTTGGTTGTACACATCACAATAATTGTCAGAAAAAGCTACTGGCGGAAGTCTAGCTACTTTCGACCAAGACATGTCCTGTTGCACCGCATTGGTTAGCGGTACATTACGCTGGTTATCGTTCCTGTATTTCAAGTTTTAATCAATGACTTTTTGTACTAAATCTATAGTTTTCTATACTAGTATTAAACTATATAATGCACTACACTAAGTTGATTTTTTATTATAGATCCTGCTTTTTCTGGGAAATGCTGTATTCAAGGTCCCTTTTGTCATCATCGCAGGACCTGGGGAATGAATACCATCACAGTCTGGTTGAGAATGATTTATATGATAATCGGGAGGCGTGTGTAAGCCTTATTTTCATGTTAAATGTGCCCGTAGATAGGGTCGCTCGTTAGCAGGTCGCCTTTGACTTTCGAGCCGTTGTCTCAAAAAGGTAAAACAGTGTTATCGTAATTGCGTGTACTTAGATACCTCTGAAGTTTTCGATGAGTTTTATGTAGTATTTAAGCAGCTGAAAGAGGATCCTTTATCTCTGACTGAGAAGTTTTGCCTGCTTACTGGAGAGTACCTTACTGGCATACCAAGGCCAGGAAGAAGAACCACGCTTTCAATTAAGTAAGAATTTCTTGTTCTAATTGCACGAGCATAGAACAAGCTATGAGCCTAGCCTCTACAATGCTATTGATTTGGAGCGCTCTGTATGGCAGCTTATAAACGCCCTGTATAGCGACCGGCTGTGCCACTCAACTTCACCAAATATTTCGCCATTCAAGGTAATAGCTATTGTGTCTCGTACGTGACAATGATGGGAATGAAATTCATGGGTTTTAATTTTTTTAGCCAAATCGTCACTCAGAAAAAGAGATTGTTAATCATTTGTATGACAATGACGATGATCTTCGAGAAACACAGGTATGCATTGTCTTATTATCTATTCTGTGAGAATAATTTGAATTGTTCCATTTATTTTGCCTCACTCTCTATATTAACTGCAGATTCTGACTGCAAGATTGGTTGTGAGCATAGCTGGTAAAAGCCCTTGGTACCGTCATCATTTTGAATCTGAGTTACACACAATAGTTGTTGCGTAATTGATGAATCGACACGTCAAACATGTTCTCTTGAACTTAAACTTCCAATACTTCTTTTTGAATTCAGTTACTTTAATCTGTCAATAGTCGTTTAAATTTTTAGATGTATTAAAATCCATTTACTTACTATTATCCTCCCATTTTCTAAAGATTATCGTCGATTGGTTAGAAGGTAAGGTTCGAGATGGGATAACGGAGGTTGCCGAAAAGTACGAATGCCTCTTTAACGACAAGACAATCTGGTAAGTGCTCTATTTCCCCTGTTTAGCTAATCGAGCTGTACTCCGTTGCAAACAAGCCTAATGCCCCTTTTAGGGAGAACACACTCCACCTTCTGGAAACACTGGACATGCAGGACCTAAAATCCAAGCATTTAGTTACTCATCTGGTGAGTTTACGCCTTCTTATTCTTCCTCACTGGTCTTACAGCAAAGCTTTATTGTTTAATTTCTTCATACCCTTCAATTAATACTTGTAAATATTTGAAAGTATTTACGACTCCTGCTGTCTAGGCAAACCGACATCGAAAAAAATGTGTTTGCGAACTTACGACTGCTTCAGAAATATTATTGCATGTTATTTTGGAACCCAGCATCTCATCCTTATTCAATTCACTCAGGTTGTTAATCATTGAGAGGTTAAATCTGCCTGACAAAGGGCCATTGTTTCGTGGAGGCTGACTAGGAGGTTCGCTCACTTTTTGGTGGTCGGTCTAGGAATAAGCGAGGCTTCTTCAATTGGATTTCCTACTTCTCCGTATGCCTTTTACTGTTTTAGTTTCCTGACGCAGCTCTTATTGGTGAAGGAGGTCTGGCTCAGAAGGATGTGTCCGATGAGAACCTCTACCTGCACTACCTTTTTTTGTGTGTTCGGGGTGGCGATCTACAGAGGGTATGCTGTCCCATTTCAACGTAGAATTCAATCTCCATTATTTCGCACGTCCAAGAAGCAAGCAATTTTTTTAATACTTACATAGCAGGACCTCACCTATTCTTGTGGCATTTACAAACATACCTTCACCCCATTAGCCTATCATGTTTTCAAATTACATGGTTTACACTCTCTCAGATGTGATTCTTCGCCTCTGGTGAAGTGTTTGTTTTTTGAAAAGGTAAAATGCCCTCAAACTGGTAATTTGCCTCCCTTACGAAATCCAAGCAGATTTCACTCCACTTTCCAAGACATCGCCTACAAACCATACTAATAGAATTTCAAAGACGCTGGTTCAGTTGGGCATATTTGTGGAGGTGGTGCCTCACTAACTCCCTCCCTTGCATTTTCATAAAACAAGTTCACATTCGATTAGAGTAATGTGGATTTGAGAAATTTGGATGCAGGACGCTCGCAGGAGCAAAAAACCAGCCCTCATCGAGTGTGTGCGGCGCCCTGTGATTGGAATCTGGCTTTCTATCTAGGCTCAACGACTGTGTCTCCAGAGGGGTGATGTTACACGGGCTGTGGCAATGGAAGGATGGCGTCCATTCCACAGCAGCTACTTGTCCGATGAAACCGCACCACCGGAAGGCCACAGTGTCGAGGGCAACGCCACGCGCGTGTTAAGCAAATGCGTCGCCTGGTGGAATGCTGAAAATGTGCGTTGGTGTCATTACCGCAATGCTTAATAAGTAGACTTTGAGCGTCACATTGTTTTCAACTCTTTAGCCATCGCTGAACCCCTACGAACGTGCAATTTTCGCTGCTCAGTCTGGGAATTTGAGTGCCCTTTTACAAAATATGACTTCGGGCAATTGGGAGGATCTACTGTGGGCTCATTGTCGTGCTCTAGTTGAGTCACGAGTTGATGCCACCCTACGCACAAATCTCGACTGCGGACCCAGGGCCAATACTTTAGTAGGTTACTGAACAATGCTCTTCCAATGCTTTATCTTTTTCAAACACATTAATCCCGAGCACACCGACCCGCAATCCTTCCCACGTAAAACGAGTTAACTGTTTCTATATTCCATCCGTTTTGTCAGAACTTACGGCGTTGGGACTTCATGGGTCGACAACTTAACCCATCAACAGTACCTACTCATTTCGGGCCTACATTTGGCCTTATTACCAAAAAAATATTTTTAGGCGTTTACTTGGGTATTTACATCGCGTGTGAATTTGTATTAGGAGATTGACCACTAATGTACGATCTTTGCCGCACACCTTTACACTAAATAGATAGCGCTGGGCTTTCGAATTCGTTCACATGAGCCCAATCGGCCTAAATCAGCGAACCGTGGAATGTGGTGTATTTTGGAAAGTGGGAAGTTTTTCAGCACTCAATTACACTCAATTACTAGTCGGTGTTTGGGCGTCCCCAAAAAGACCTCGACCTCGAGGACCTGGGTCTGCAGCTGCCGGACTCGGCCTGGCTGCCGGGCTCGTGGACGCTGTCGGAGGCCTTTGCGAAAGCAGAAACCGCACTCGGCTGGTCTCCAATCACCTGTCTTTCCTGTGTCGCCGAGGGAGGTTCCAGCTTCGTTACCCCGACCCTTCGCCCCTCGGAAATGTCCGCATTTCTTAACCACCACATCGCAGACGTCCTGCAGCCATCCGGCGATAGCAGGTCACAAGTCGACCGACAGCTACTTCTTCAGGCTATGTTCTACACAATTTTCAGGGCCATAGCTTTACGCGAATACTCAGGTAGCGCGTGTTTTGTTTTTGGGCATTGTTCGTTCCATTAGAGCACTCAGATGATGCCACAAAAACCTTTTTGCTTGCATGTTTTACGATTATGTCGGACTACTTGTCTGCTTGATCCTTCAAGGCTCCTGTTTATGAAAGGCATGAAGTGCAAGGACTCGCCAAGTCGCTTTATACGTATTGGGCTCGGTGAGCGGGCGGATGAGGCCCGTGGTGACTCCACCGGTCACTTGCACCCTTAAGACTTGCTTTTCCACTCAGTGCTTTGCTGGTCAGTTTGCATGCGTTGCCACAAGGGCATCCAATGACGGGTGTTTGCTTCTAGCCACAACGTCCGTCTATGTGCCGCCTCGAAGCATCAATCCGCCTTGGTGTGCAACGGTTAGAAACACATAAAAACACGGAGGTCGCACAGTCACGTTTTGGTGTTCAGGATGCAAAAGTTGATCCTCCCATCCGTCTCGGTTTCGTGTCGCCTGCAAGTCGCAATAGCACCTCTCGTGTGTAGCTGATCTTTATAAAATATTACCTGCACTTTTGAGCGTTGAGGTCGGTGGTAGTAATAAGCTTCGATGCCCTTTTACGTGAACTCGAACCACCTAGATTTTTGAGTGTGGTGTCGCGATATTGTGAGTGCTAGCCACGTTAAAACCAGATTGATGCTCCACTTAATCGGGTTCGGTTACACCTGTGCGTTCACAGATGCCGTTTTTGAGAAACACAGATAGCAATGCGACAGCGAAGTTGATCTTAACATGTGAGAATATCTTGTTGATGCTAAGACACATTTGTGGAATTTTCGTCTCTAATTTCTTAGACCCGACTTCGTATCATTGCCAGACGGCTTAGCTGAAATTAATCTGGGAATTTAAATTACTACCGCTTCGACGCTTCACAGAGGATCGAGTCTACGGTAGTACAGTCTACTTTTATGGATTAGGTAGTTCGAGATTATAGGTGATTTTTTTGCAAGAATCAGCCAAATGTGCAAGTTAGTGTCATTTGGAAGCACACCGAAACCTAGCTGATTTAACTTCGGCTCACCCTACATATATACAGGGTACAAATCGTGCTTCTCTTTTTAACCTTTAGATATGTTGGCAGCCCTTGCTTCTTCAGTAACTTTCTTCCTTCCAACGACTATTCGTGAAATTTTGACTGCGGGTGTTACCAATGCAGATTGGCCGGAACTGGTTACACTAGACCCATTGAATTGCCAGGTTCTGCGTTTCCTCGTCCATCTTGTGCTGTGTCTTCAACGCCTGGAAACCGAACTTCCGGTATGTCTCATTTGTGTAATTCAAGGCCCCTAGGTCGTCGATACTCCAATTTCGAGATATACTTACATCACTGTTACTGCTCATAAATCTTGTCTTAGCTGATCGCCATCACAGTCGCTAGTAGTTATGATACACCCCTGTCAAATATATCACGTCCCTCGAGAATCCTTTTGGTTTTCGTCCTCGTTCGGCACATTTAATGTAATCTGGTAATTATTGAGTACTGAGATGGGATCCTGTTTTCTTTCCAATTATTTTGAGCTTGTTCGCGCAGGATTGATGTTGACTGTTGACAGCTGGGCGATCAAATTGGTTCTTTTATAGGACGAACACTGTAACAGCATTCTCGAGGCCTACATATCCACACTCATTGTGGAGCGACGTTACCCTCTCATTGCGGCGTACATTGCGCAGTTGTCCTCTCCATCGCGGCAGACTCGCTGGTACGCTTCTTTCCTGTCCGGTGAGTTGCTTGTTTGGCAGTGGAAATCATCCATGTGCAAATTCCCTTCTTTATGCGTCGCCTTCGTCTTGTAGTAATTGAGTTCTAATAGTTAAGGTCATTGCAAACGTTCTACCGGCTACAGGAAACTGCTTAAAAGACATTCTTGGTTTGGTGTACAGAAACGTAGCAGCGATGATTGACCAGTGAAAGGACAATTGCTGAATAAAACGTTGGCAGTAATCATCACTTGCGAAATGTCTAGTCGTTATGTTGTCCTGCCATCTTGCTTACTTGAATATGTAATCCTGGTTAAAGTCTGCAGTGTAAATTTTAGGCTCTGGTTGGTTTGATTATGTGGTCTGCATTTAATAATGCTGGCGACAGTTAACAGATTTACCTGCGTTAACGGTCTTGTGCGATACCTTAGTCCACCAGTTAACCGACATGGTCATTCATCTTTCAAACCACACGAGAGCAAAGCTGTGATCTTAAAATGCGCTGTTAAAGTGAAAATAGAGTTGATATTAGCTGCTACCCTTTGGTTTTCATCACAAAATTTTTAGTAGGTCCTTATTAAAAACGGCACAGTACGTTGATAAGCCTAGAAAGTGGCTCTCGTCAATGGCAGCTATTTATTGAAGTCTCCTGCGTATTCGTAAGAATCGAATAGCTCCCATGTGATTGGTCTTGGGCTACTTAACAGCGTAGTGTGGTAGCGCATTTAGGAAAAGCCGCGTTTGTAAATGAAAAAATAACATCCTCACAGGTATCGGAAAACCGTGGAGTCGTTTTTCAGTGCTACAAAAAACACTTTTGTCGCGTACTCAGGCAAATTGAAGTCGTGCTAAGGTATCTAATTATGGCCTGGTCCGAGGTTGATGTATACACACGGTGAACGACGAAACAGAGGCGTAGTCAAATTCGTAGAACACAAATACCCGAAAAGTTTATTCAGTTTTTTCACCTGGTATGAAATGATGAACCTGGCTTATGTTGTGCTTCGACGATTAAACACCTAGGTGTACATGAACCCATCCTCAGTGCGCTGGAAGTACAGAATCCCGTTAAATCATGAAAGTGACTTGAACCTCCACTATTTCCGTTCGAATAGCATTTGAATTAACTTGGCTAATGGATTAACAGCCCCAAGGCAGTATATGTATAAATAATCGAGGCATTAATTGTTGTTTAAGTCCATCGTCGGTGTCCTCGCGTCTGCAGTGCACGTGCATTCGGCGTCTCTCACATTCGGGATCCACTCGGACGTTCGGCGATTAATTGGCAACTTAACGAGTAATTTAGCATTATCAAAAATGTATGTAAACATTGAAGAGACTCAAAGAAAGATTTTGTTTTTTTGTAGCTTTCAAATACAGAACTTACACAATTTTGTCACAAATGGGGAGTATCAAAAAAAGCGGCGTAACGAAAGATTTCCGAGGTCTTATTACAATTAATTTAAAGGAGTTACGTTAGAAATGAGTTAGAGCCGTCCAGCGGTCAACAAAATCACATTAAGACAATGAGGCATAAACGGGATTTTGCCATCAAACGGGATTGTTTTTCATAAGAAAAAAATGGAACGATAAGTAAACTTTGCTTAATAGCTTTTTATATCGTCCAGAATCATTTTTGGGAAGTGATATGTGAATAAGGTTATGTCCAAAGACGTCAAAATTGCCCGATGAAAAGTATTATTTCTGGCTAAAATACCCAAAGAACGTAACTAGCTAATAATTTGTAAGTTGTGCAATGGTTTCCTCAACAGCGCCTCATTCATCGATATTACAAAATCAGGAAGTGATTTACGTAGCCGTCGTGTGCATCCATGCTTCAAGACACTTTTCATGTTCCCGAGTCGGAAATCGTAATTAGTAAATAACTCTGCGCTGTTATCAGATTATTTTTACGCCGAGGACGTCTGGAGTCGTGTTCACGCAGATTTCTCCAAATATCCCGGATGCCAGTGTAATTGAATATGTTTATAGAGTACTAAGAACTACTTTCTAAAAGTCATTTCATTTATTGTCGTTTTAAATGTAAAGTGAAGCATAATTCTTGAAACCTGCGTCGAAAACAGCGTTACCAAAATCTACAAAACACCCTGGCTCATTAAAAGCTCACCCATTCCCACTAACTATGGCTATCCGAATATTAAAAGCTTCCATCTACTTAACTAACTTGACAAAAAACCCAGGAAACTTTTGGCTCCGTGACAGCAATTCTGCCCAGTTTTCATTTTCTTTAATTTCCGTTTTCCTTAAATTTTAAGTAACTTTATTACTTCGTACTGTTGTTTTCTTATTTGCAGATAGTATATCTAGGTTAGGAAGCTTACTTAGGCACTTTATGCATGATTTAGGACCCATGCTCTACACCGTGTTAGCATGTACTATGTTGAATTCAGATTGTTATCACGTTCCATTTGCTTTCAGTATCCCAATGTATGTCACAACGTAATGGGTTCTGGGGAGGTCAATTGTTCCACATAGCAATTTAGCAGTAACTCGGTTATTCTAGTGGTATCGCACAATGGAGGTCCATGCTCTTACATGCCTTTATCCACACTCTTTTTCGTCACCCTTTCTATGGCAGTAAAGGTTTCCATACTGCAGCATAGTTGGCGTTTCAAATTTGGTAATTGACCCGTGTGCAGAGATAATTACTACGTCTCCATAAATAACGATACGTCATTACGAGCACAAATAAACCAGTGTCTAGCTGAGATATGTCTTTTGGTATTTTGCTGTCCATACCTGGCCCATCCTTATACGTCTTAATGAGGTGGATATTCTGCTAATTGTGGTATTCAAGTAGCGGGGAAAATCGATTCGAATCAATGGTTTTTTGAGAGTAGAGCGTAACCACTATGCCTGCATTTGTCTCCTTCTGGATTCTTTCATCCCTTACAGCGTTGTATGTGGATAAAGCTTTTAATTATTGGCGGCTGCACGTCATTGGACTTAAGGTCAATTTTTGCCCTTGCGAATCGCCTATTTCCGCTTTGCATTTCCCAGGTCTGCGGAAGGCCGAGGATCGCCAACAATGTCTCGAGTACGCTGCAGCCGCAGGACTTAACGTTCAGAGTGTTACTCGCGCCGTCATACGCATAGTCCGTCGTCGCTTTGATGAGATGGATCGAGCTGAGACGTCGCCCAAAGGCACTGTCGTTCCTTCTGCTTCTGTGGAAACTATAGCCGACATTGTAGGAGGTGATGTGGTGGGTTATCTTACACAGGTAGACAAGAATCGAATAGCCGCGATCGATTGGCTGGTGCATGACCGAGCACAACGAGGAGAAGTCCTCGTCTTAGCCAACAGCCTTCTTCGCCTCTTTATAGCGATGCGCAAACTACAGGCCGCGAGGGCCGTTCTTGATAGGCTGCCTTTAGCCATATTGGATCAATTGAAGTTAAAGATTATACAGGCGGAGGAAGACTATGGTGTGGACACGGCTCGAGCTGTCATTCCTCCTTGGCTGGCAAATACTGTACGCGAACACGAGTGCCTCATTCTCTATCTGCAGGTTCGGGTAAGTTGTAGTCATTTTCACGCGTCAATTGACATACGCGCAGAAGTTAGATACATCCCATCCAAAACATCCGTTTCTCTACTTTGCACATACTTTTAGGAATCGTTCGACCAGTGGTATTTCCAAATAAAGTCTACAAAGCCGACGCCTCCTGCCACCAACAACGATGGAACTACATTTTCGCTAGCTGATCGTGTTGCAGCTGAAGAAGCAGAGAAAAACTTTAGAGCGCGCCTTGAATGTTGGAATCATGAGATCGAACTCAGGAGCTTGGTGAGTGCCGATCGTTTTTTGTTGAGGGTCGTTTTGTAGGCGCCATGAGAGTTTGCAGTGAGGCACTGAACCATTTTGTTTGAAAGGGGGCTATGATAACTCTTCTTATTCGGATGTATACTTGTTTTTATTCATCACATCTGGACTCGCAGGAATCAATCGGACGTTTTTTTACATCACTAACAATGAGTATTCCTAAAATGAAAGCCTTCTTTGGCTTGGGATCAGAATGACGATAAAGCCCCTGCGTAATTTTTTGCTCGGCATAATATAATCCTCTTTGAAGAATGATATATTCATTCTCCTGTTGTTGTGTTTTGGAAGGTGAGGTTGTACCTAGAGTTACAGTCACTAGTAGCAGATCTCTTCCAATTTTCACCCCACTTTTGTCACCTAAATTCTTCCTTCCCCTTCAGCTCGCTAATTGATGTATTTGTTCTTTTGATTTACCTGTCTACGTACAATGGATGTAGAGCACGATTTTGTCTGAATAGATCCTGTCGCATTTGGTTAGGTAATGGGTAATTGATATGTGTATCCTCTTGTCCTTTCTAAATTACTAATTTCTTTTCGTACTTCTTTCCCCCTAATGCTTCACTTGTGCTTGAACGGGTCTGCATCTGAATTCCTGTGCTGTTATTCGTCTGAAGCATCACTCCACTGATTCGTTCTTATTGATGTCTTAAAGTAGAGTGTTTGTGATGTAGGAGGGAGGAGGTCTTGCCTTTCATATTAGTTAAGTGAGCAAAGCTTCTCTGTTGGGATAGAAGAAAAAAAAACGCTCTAAGCACTTAAACCACCGGACACTTTGCTGACTTCACGTCAGTGCTTTTCGTGATAAACTGCATACCCAAAAGCTCAACTTTAACCTAATCGGCAAAGTGACGAGAGACGCCATGCTGCCATGCTGGATAGCCATGTCTGATAAAATTAATATAATTTACATTTTCATGAAATACTGGATTTTGGCTCGAATTATAATCCTCACGATGTTATTGGCTCAGCACTTCAACTAATCTGATATAAAAACGATGTTCTTCCTTTTAGTTTCGGATTAATGGTTTGTAAAACCGATCTGTTTTGCCACACACTGTTTTAGCACTGCTGTACGTCGTTGTAATTACGAATCACATTAAGAATGGTAAAATAAGGTACTATGCAAGTAAATATATGGGAAATTATTTTGTTTAAAGCATACATCTGTGTTTTTTTGAATCCTGAACGCATTTTCAGTCGCAGGCAAGTGACGAGGTTCTGTGAAATAGGAATTCATTTGCCGATGTCCTCAGTTTAAGCAGCCAATTTCGCCTCGAACGTGAGACTTGCCGATTTGTGTGTTTTACAAGCAAGGCAAGGTTTCTATTGCGGTGCTCAGGGCCGATTTCCCCTCAAAACGGTTTCTTGAAGGTGTTAGTTGCGTTTCTTGCATCCTTATGAGGCCGAATGAGTAAATTCGGATCACGGACTTATGGGCAGTCTTATAAATCAGACTTGAGGCTTGTGGGCATCTGAAGTAATTGCTAGAGGCCGGGTTCTCTGTGCTCAAGTGTGTGCTTAATAAATGTCTAGGACGAGATTTTGGTTACAATACTGTTTAAATCCGCTGCTGGGGCTAAAATGCTAGTGGCTGAAATAAGCTGTCTTCGAGGTTCTGAAAACGTTGGGGCTTCTGAAGTGGTAAAGGCAGTTTCACAACATCCAAATAAGGGTTTGCAAATTTCGATTTCCCTGCCTGTTGTAAAGCAGTTTGGTCCTTTTATTGGCTGTCCTAAACTTCGTTGCATTAAAATTCGTGGCCATCGAAATCAGTACCACTGAGGTGCATCTCATTGGGGCTGATTTTCTATTTTTGCCAATTTCAGTCCCTGGTCAAGCAGTTAGAGTCCCTTCTGACGTACGAATCGCCGGGCTGGCTTGTAGACGCAGCGATTACTCAGCCCCGCTTAACGACCTGTCCAGAAGAGTATGAAGCCGCTCTGGATGTCACGGGAATGTTTGCCTCCACCCCCGCAGACGAGGATGAAGGGGACTTGGGCATCGCCGGTCTTGGGGATTCACCCCACGCCCGGAAACTACAGATGAACGTCCTCAGGGAGGTTTGTCTCCGTGAGGTAGTTTTCATGCTGATTGAAGTCTACAGGACAACCGGCCGCCATGTCAGTTGTGTGCGTCTTGCCGATCTCGTAGCTGATAAAAATTTCGGAATTTTCAAGGTGAGTGCAATAAATTTAGACCATTCTTCTCTTTAGTGAATATTAGCAAAGTGAATTGAAATGCCGTGTACTTTAGTGGTGCAACTTGCATAGGCAGTACACAAGAAACAAGTCTGGAAAACTTAAGTCGAATCACATCGACCTTTATGTCAATCGTATCACAACAAATACGATGTTAGGGCTTAATGTAAATAATTTTGGTCGTATGATTATCCTAGTGTTGTTGCTGTCCTAGCGTGAAGCCTGGACGAGATTTATAAAACAATTTCTAAAGTAGCTGACCCTGCAACTGCATGTGGACGTGGTCCTATTAGAGGTTAATCCAGCCAAAATGGTTGATATCTTCATTACCAGGTCAGGTCGAAGTTTTTTGCTGATGTTGTGATCTTTTAGAGACTATCGATGCCAGTGTCATGTTAACTCACACAGCACTTGCAATTCAAAAGTTATTTTTTATTGGTATGGTGCATCTAACCATTCTAACTGGTACGCAAACTTGAGCCCTATCCCTGTGGGTTCTCGGAAGATGCATTGTCGGCTTAGCCTAGTGACAGAAACATGATTTGCTTCAATGTCATGTATTTTCTGGTGTAAAGGATGTGTTCCTGCAACAAGCCAACTCATTTATACGGAATAATCAGAAAGGTAGCCATTATATTTCCTATCAAGAATGTATTTTTCAAACAAGATTGCAGTCTGCTTAAAGCGTTTTGTAGCTTTAATGTTTCATTTTAATTTGTAAAAACCTACACATTGTGCTTCAGAGTTCAACAATCTAGAGTAGAATTTAAGCCTTTGGACATAGGACCATCATCAAAGTGATGCAGTTTGATTTGGAATCAGTTGTTCATGAAAAATTACTTGGAGAACCTTCGAGTAAAATAGCAATGTAATCTGTTCATTATTTGTTCATTGCATTGGCAAAAGGCCTTACAATTTATGCGTTACGCCACTGCCAATCTATTCGTGGCTTTAGATTTACAGACGCATCATTCGTCTCGATAACTGATTATCCGTCCCTGTGTTGAAATTGCTGTCTACTCGTTAGATCCGTGGTCCTCCGTTCAACAAGTCCTCGATGTCGGTCACATAATTACCCTCTCATTAACCTGAGGCGGTGTTGCATAAATTGACTGTGGGTGTTGCTTGCAGCGTCGTCTGCGGGGGCTGCTGGATTGCCAGCACGCGTCGCTCGAGTCTGGCTGTCTTTGCTTGAGTGCCCTGGTGGAAGTAATCTGTCATTGGTGCTATTAGCTAGCGTTCGACTCGCTTGTCTGCAGGCCTACCGGCCATGGTTTTCTAGTTTTGTTTTCTGGTTTTAATTTCTGGTAATCTAAATAACCAGTAAACTATTTTTTTCGCGACCAAACTGCAGCAGTGAAGCCAAGGGATCTCTATTGCAGCAAGTTGTATCCGGTGTGTATGGTCCATGAGAAGGCCCAAAAATCCCAAACCTCTCCCCGATAATGGAAACTTTCCCGAAATTTTGTGCATTTTTAGTCTTAATAGATGATTTGTCAATCACAGAAGTTGTCGGTACCTCTAAGATACCATAGAAAGTCGTTTATCTCACCCGAATGAAATTTCAACCGTGACATTCGTTAGTGGGCCAGTTTTTTTTTACGGAAAATGCATTCTCAAGCAACTCAATTTTTTGAAGTGCTGCTAGCAGCAACTGAAATTAAGCATTAATTCAATTATTCTATTCCTCTCACATCCCCATCGTAGTTTTTCCCCTAATAACTCATTCCACCTTATCCTGCCATACTGACGTAATATAGTTCTATTTTTTACTACTTACTGTCGTGAATAGACCGCTTGCTAAATTTTTTTATGCTCAACAAATATCGTCAACCTAGTTCAACGGCCATGCTGAAATAACGTGTTATTTTTGGCCGTGTTCATTTTGTATTTTGTCGTTTGAGTTCTTCCTAAAAGCACTAATTTACTGCACCCTTCCTCTACTTCTCATTAATGTTTCTCAAGACCGAACGGTTCCTGATAAATGCAGGTGGTTTATTCTTAAGAATCGCCTTTTTCTCTCCAACCAGCAATCGCACCCACTTGACTTCACCATGGAAATTTCAGTATCAGTCGTGCGACACCTAATTCACAATAAAGGTCCTCATGAATGAGCCTTCTGCAAGCTTACGTGATGTTTAACCTCCCTTGTTTTATGGCAACATGGGCGGGTATCAAACGATCTCGTGCGTACTCCTTTGCTCCGTGACATTTTTTTTAAAAATTATTTCCTATATTCTGAAGTCTTTTATTGTATGGGCGTCATGTGAAACGTAATTGCATGTCCTTGTTAGTAGTATGTGGTAGGAAGTTTGTCCCTGCACGCATTTGTAGATTACAAATAAAATTATCCTCCCATTGTGAATGTGCTTGTAACAAAGTGCCAGCGCAGAACCCGTGCTCATTTGACCGGTTAAATGTAAGCCACATGGACGACACGAATCGGTGGCGAATCGCATTTGTTTTGTCTTTTTATGAATAGCCGCACAAATGCTAATGGCACCAGGTGGCATCGGTGATTAGCAGAAAAAGTAGTCCACGGGGAGCCTTCGCTTTCCACTGTTTGGTCAGAGCACCCCTTAATTTCTTCGGAACCATTCACGGGGAGGGCTGGTGGTTGTTTGCATTTCCCTCTAATCTACTCGGCCTTTTTGGGTAGTCATTGCTTTCGATGTGCTGGTAAACCCCAGTTTTGTTCCCTCCCCGGCGTAGTTACATTCTGATAAAAAAATTGCCGTATCATCTATCTCAGTCGTACAAAGTTTGATTAATGCGCCCTCAGAAACATTTTGAAAATCACTAGCCACAAATGTTAACAAATCGCACTTTTATTTTTCTCGAGTATTTTGGGCTAAAATGTTTTCAAGTTCATTTGAAAACTGCTTTGCAAAACAGCAAATCTCAAATATTGTTTAACTTAGAAACCCAATTATAAAAGCGTGCATGAACATACTTCACGGTGTGAAATCTTGTGTACGTTAACCCCTATAGGCTAGTAAACTGGTTGGCTGCCCTGCGTGGTTTTGCCTGTACAATAGAACACGGTCAACATAGGAGTATATGCAAATTAGATCAAGTTACGGTATTGTGATATCTAGGTATTTGGAACAATCTGGGAAGTAGATCCCCGCCGAGGTTGTCATCTTTCGTAGATAAAATTGGGCTGTTTCAAAAACCGCCTGAAACCACTTCAACAACGTGGACAGAGTTAAGCCTCGGCAACGTGTGTTCTGCATCATTTCAACGATCGTTCGAAGATCGCAAACAGCAGGAAGTTGCTTTGCTCGGGAAAATAGTTACGCACGCGCCCATGAAAATCTGCCACTCATTGTTAGGGGCACTACATGTAAAGTCGGGTTTTTCTGCCTGTGCACGCGTTCTAAACGTTCCCTGAGATTGTTGTAAGAATCCAGGCTATAACAGACGTACTTTCAAATGAATAACTACTTAAATTTACAAATAAGGAATGTTTTCGTTTTTTGGTAATTCTTTGAGCCGTTTTGTGCCTGTTTACTCACAATCCTACTCGCGTGTTATTTGCTTTAATCAGCTCTTCAATGAATGCCAAATGCAAAGCCTGTTGCAGCACATCCAAGAGTCAATGCTTCACCTACAAGCGGTTTGTGGCGATGCTCTTGGCTATCGAGTAGGCGGGGAGACGACGGCCGATGCCTTGCTCTAACTTCTGCCATCGTTTTTGTACTGTATTATACAATGTAATGATGTTGGAACAAAATACAACATGTTTTGCGCGCATCGTCCGCGTTTTTTGGATGATTGTGGCGCCGTAACCACCGGGAAGTAACATTTGGTGTGTTGTAGTGGTATTTGCGCATGATTTATGCAAACGGCTCGATCTTGTAATTGTACTTCTTGATTAGGCACTGGAGTTGAAATACACACTCGGAGCACTCTGTGGCTACTCTGTTTAGCAATGCATCTTTTTGGCACAGGGCATTGGATTGATTGTCGAGGGTTAACTCACTTGGCAGAATTTGTGGTGAGCCTGTAATTATTAAACAATTCAAGCAGGCAGGCTTAGGTAGAGATATAAGGTCTGGAACTCCGATGTTTGCCCTTCTGATGCAGAATTTGCAATTGACGGCTCAACTTGGTGCGTTTTGTCGACAGCTCTAGCTGTCACACGCGCCTGTTAATCTAGTGGGGCTTCACGTTAATGTTGGACGCAAGTGAAATAGTCAAACTCGTAACTGGAATGGCATTTCGTGAGTATTGACTAGTGACGAGCGAGGTCTGCTAGCTTCACGAGTTCCGTGTTCTGGATGCAAAGCAAGTGGTAGGTCCCAATCCTGAGCAACATGTCACCCCTGCAAAATCGATGGTTTGACGTGAGATTAAGTTGTGGAAAACTCAGTTGCTCATTTTATCTGAGATACGCGCCTCTGGTTGTCGAAAGACTTGTTACGTGGGAGAGGTCGGTGTGTAACGTTAGCATCGCCCTCACTGATTTTGAGTCGAACTCTGCTTTCTGCTAAATGCACTTTCACAGACTACGGAATCGCACGATTAGGTCTGTCGAAACGGGCAAAGTATTACCATGTATCAGGCTAGGCTTCATTAGACAGAATGTCCACGGGATTGTCGAATCTGTTGACTGTCGGTTCCAGTTAGATGCAAGTTCATTCGCGTTGCTTTAGTAAAGGGATCAACTTCTACATTACCTTGCGAATGTTTCCTCCAGTTGACATTACTCATCAGTCAATCGGATTTGTTTAGATTTGCCATCAGTGGAAGACGTGTAACTGAGTTTCCCAGTTAATGCGGTATTTGATGGGAATCACTGAGCCTAGGCGATTTGAGATTCAAAGCCTTTTCGGCCTCAAGTTCGAATCCCTTCATCTCTGACCTTGTTTGTAGTGAAAGCTCCCACTCGGAGTCACGGAACTAGCTCTTCATCCAGCAATTCACCCAGTTTAAATGGCTGTTACCAACCTCGTTCCGCCTGGATGGTAAGTTCACTGGCAGGTAAAGTGCGTTGACGGACGAGTCATTTTTAAGTGCTCGACCACTTGTTTTCTGACCCTCACTTGTCATTTCAACATGTTTTAGGTTAGTATCCGAAAAGTATCTATCGGTTCTGTCAAGCCTACCCAATGAGGCTGCAGCGTTAACTCATCTCCTTAATGTAAGCAATATTGCAGATGTTGAAGATGGTATCAGACTTAAGAGTAGTTATAAAGATTAAGTTACTTTGGGATGAATGGCACTTGTTGCTGGAGCATGACAAATAAACGTTTGTCCGTCGCCCTGGAAGGATTATATTAGTCGAGATATTATTTCGTTGATTCAAAAGTCAAGTTCTTTCAATTGAAACTCCTTCCTTCAGTTATTTCAGTTTTTTAACCCCCCTGAATCATTTAACCTATGTTTTCTTTGTCATGCCTAACTATTGGCATATTCCCCTCCTACGTAGTTAAGCTGATGAAATTTCCCTTTGAGATATTGATCTTCTTACTGAAACGTTGGCCCACGTATCGCTTTATAAAATTGTGTTATAGTTTAAAAAGTCTTGTTTGAATGCATCCCTTGAATTTGAAATCCAGTTAAGCATGCTCTTTTAATTTCCGGTTGAACGGGGTCCCTATTTACTTTGACTGAGGCAGAGCTTCCGGTTTCGTGTAGATCATTCTCTTCGAGGGGATGAACAATCTCAAATTTTATCTCTATTGGTGACAGTGTCCTTGATTCTAAAGTGTTTCCTACGTCGTAATAAAATTTCATCGTAATTTTAAATTCAACTTCCAAGCCCACTTCCAATTGGTTTCCGAAATTATCTCGAAACTGGTAAAGGCTGACTCGAAATCATTGACGAAAGACTAGGTTTTACATGTTATTACTTGCCACTTAATTTCGATCCTTGAAGTGAGGCTGAATTCTATTCAGCAACTCACACGACACTCATGGTTTTCCGTGCTCCACTCTCCTTAAAAGCATGACGTGTGGCATATTGCATTCGAATTTAGCGTGTCGTAGTTTTCAGGGATTCAGGTTTCTGGCTGTTACTGCAGTCGGATTTATTACTTGACTTCATTTTAGTTAAGTTCGATACCCCCTAGTCATCCTGTAGGTCTTAATCACATAACTTTTTAACCAAACCTCACTTCTGGAATCGGTGTGGGCAATTTTTTCCTAATCTCCCAATTTTTTTAAATTTTTTAGTAGTTGTAATTCTTTAATATTTCGAGTGAATCACAAATGCCTTGTTTCTCTCTTGACTAAACCATTGATGATTAATAAAGTGGTTATTTCACTTGCTTTTCGCCTGTCTCAAATGCGCGACTCGTCCTCATTCATTCTCCTACTTTTTTTCCGAAGCCTCTTGAGGTGTAGGATGCAATCATCGTGCCATCATCTTCAACCCTGTGGTGCTTCGTTTGGATGTCTTACAGGCTTTCTGATTGGAAAATCGGTTTTCATGTTCCCCTGACCCCATTTATAACTTCCTGCGTTTTTAAGACGACTTGAAATGGTTAAAATGCCGGCATCAAATATTAGGCACCTACAAGTGCACTCACTGTGGCCATTGAAAAAAAATGCATTGTCTTGCCTTGTTCATTTTTTTTGCCGGAAGCGCGTCGTCGCTGGTCGCGAGGGCGCTTGGTCAGCACCGACAACACTGGAGCAAGCCAATGTTAACAAATTATGAAATTGTGTCTTTTCCTCCACAAAACCCCACATGCTCCCTCTAATTATTGCAGGCAAAAATTCATCCTCCTGGGAATGTACATTGATGCCTCCTGCGTTCCCCTGGAGGAGATGCGAATCCCCTTTTTCTCTCCACCCCCCCCCTCCATGATATTCTCTGCTTGCCCATTTAACATTTTTTTCCCTATACCTTCACTGCCTGCCACCCCCTACCCAATTGTGATGCTCGTTTTGGCAATTTTTGTCCATTATTATTGCTTACATTGCTGACATATTCAGTCATTTTTATCACATCTTTCAGACTGACATGCGGGAATACGGTGTTCCTTGGCTGGACTCTAAGAAAGGCAAAGATGTGGCAAGTCATTATTACAGCAGTTTCTTTTTTTGCAAATAAAGTTAGTTCATAATCTTCGTTATTCAGTTGTCTGAACTGCGTTTGTAAATCAGTGTTTTTTCATGTGGTGATTAGACAAGGTAGTTTTGCGTGGCAGCTAGCGAACATTTTTGTTTAAAATACTTGGATCGCAATACCTAATGATTATCTGCAATACACATGCTACGAGTGCGATTAGACGTAACAATTAAGCGCTTGTAGGAATTGGTGTTCAACCCATGCATTTCTGAGGTTCCCACGTGAATACTGCTCAACTAGAGCAGTACCCTGATGGGATTGGCAGCAAATCTATCTCTTTTAGCCTTTACAACGTTTGTCAACCGTTGTTTGGACTCTTAGTGAATTCATTTACACACTTTTTACCGACACTAGGACACCGTTCGAAAAGACAAGCTCAAAACCATCCCGCTGGACGAATGTGCGTCGACTTGGCTTTTCGCAGAAACGAAATTCACGAGTGGTTTGCGCAGCTCTTCCAATAACGATTTGCTGTTCGCTACTACGTCATTAGTCGTGCTTAAATCACATTTTTTTACCTCCTGACTAATTTGATTCGTAGCAAAAGCCAGATTAATGTGGTGGTAAATTGTGTAGCTCCGGCAGTGCTCCTAGTCAATCTCCTCCCCCGAAACATTAATATGATTTTTTACGTCATCGTTTTCGATTCCACGGAAAACTTTCTTCTCTAGTCTGATTGGTCTAATTACAGTATACTCTAATTTGTGGTTTTTGGTGCATTTCGTATTGCAGCTGGACGCAGATGGCCAGGTTCTACAGGTAGTTCAAATCCGCAATATTGCAATATCACAAGCAGAGGAGGATTTTCAGACGTCATCGGACACTGCCGGCGGAGTTTCGCGTCTTCTCAAGCTCACTCTAACTGATGGCAAGCATACCATATCGGCTCTTGACATCGACAATTCACCCAAATTATCGTGAGTTGCGTAATGCTTGTTTGTTAGGTAAATCTTGAAAATTGGAGCTACTTACAAAAGTGGGCTTTCTGTAAGGATTAAATTCTACGTTATGGAATTGTTGGTGGCATTCGTTATTTTTCTTAAAATTAACCAAGTGTGTGTGCAAAATAGTTGCATATTCGTGATACAACGGTACATTTATAACTTGTCATCGGGACCATTTAACTATCTCATAAACAAAATGCTTTTTATGCTTAATTTACCGACCTGATGACGATTAAAGTAAACGGATTGCTTTGACACAATTTCCGTCTTGCGGCTTTTAGGGTCTGCTCAAACACATTCGTGCATGTTGTCTCGTTCGTGTCTAGCTTATCCAATTTGTGCTTGTAGGATTGTCAAAAGTGACACGCTGAATTGTCGCGTACGTAAATCAAGCCTCACTTTTGCAATTTGGGAGCGCAGTTCTGTCGTCCACTTTCGCCTTCACTTGATATATCCACTGTGTATGTTCGTTTAATAGTAAGAAGCAATCGACTTATTCTTTGGATAAGACACCATACTTCCGGGCATTGTGTCACCCTGCGATTGGGTGCGTGTGCAGGTGCGCGGTGAACGCATAGGTGGTCCACGCGAAAAGCACTTTTTGCATAGTTAGGCGCCAGTGCCACGTTCAAGCAGAGGAGACTCTGTGCAGTCATGCCTTTCCGTTTCCACTTCCCTCTCCCCGCTTTAATTGCCACCTCCGCCTGTCGCCTTCTTTCAGGCGTCAGCCACTGCTCCCCTCAGCACGCTCTGGCTCTATTCCCACCCCTGCAGCAATCCAACTTTTTACACTTGTACTTGTTGCTCCTGATGTTTAACAATCGTGATGCTGTGCCAAAGTGGCATGTTAAGGTTGAATTAATTGCAAATAATTGTAATGTGGGACATCCGATCCAAGAAAAACCACCTAGTCGCTTGGTTATCGTGTGCCTTCTTTCTCCATTGATTCCATTTTGCCAGGTTAAACACTTCAGTTTCCTCCAATGCTATTCAGCCTGCCACCGTTCGATTATCCTCCTCGGTTGGCATCCTTGGCATATTTTACTAGTTCGCTATCATAATTCGGATTATTCTATTAAGATTTTGCTTTGTGTTGACGGGGCTGTAAAAGATGCTTTTGTTTGTACTCACGAAGGTATGAAACGCCTCCGGGGACCAAAATTCGTCTAACTGGCCGCATTCAAGTTCGAGTCGGTTTTCTTATTCTCCGACGAAATAATTTCGACGTTCTCAAGGGGTCCGTGGATTCTCTTTATCGCGAATGGCTTTTAACGCGAGTGGGTTCCTTATTTGTAAACTTGAACAAATAGCTCTTATTGTCAGAACAACTGCATGGCAGATAACGCGATTCAAGTTTCCAAAGGTAATTTCCAGGCTCCGTAGCCACGGTTCCAGTTCAATGCTTTATCGAAATAGATGTCACGCTGTTTTTAGGAGTTTGTGCAGCCTGGATTTGGAAGGTTCTGCACGTCGAAATACTTTCCGGTATATGAAGGTCAATGCGAGTTGTTAGGGTGCTATCACAGCCAAATTTCCGCCAGGCGATTTGTATTTTTCGCCTTTCTTCTTGGTCCTGTTTGAGAAATAGAACTCCGATTAAATTTACAATCAAAGCTTGAGGCTACGTTACATGTTTTGGTTCTTGATGACGTTTTGTGAAAACATGATAAAGACACACATTTGAATCTATTTGACATCCAGCCTTAATAAGCAGCCGCTTAGTTCCCTTTTTTTGGAAATTTCCAGTAAACCGGTCAAACCGATTTGGAATTAAGGAAGTGTATTTAGCACGAAGTGGCCGCAACTGTGCACAAACTGAAGTTGACATTCACTCTCGGGGTGATCAGCCGCTGCTACTTTCGTTGTTCATTGATGTGTGTAATTTGTCAACTTCGATATCCTAACTTGATTTAATGCCGTATAACACCTACAATCTAGAATTGTCCCACGAGCAGTTACTTGTGCATTAAATTCGAGTGTTTTAACTGACTTGGAGGTGCTCGTTAAACCTTTTCCTTATTTGCCCTGTCACAGGACGTCATTTTAGCTCTTATGTTATTTGTCCCAAAAATGCACTTAAATAACTCCCGTAAGTAACAATAAAATTTGCCTTGTTGAGGTGACAACTCACCCAAAACTCGTAGAAATCGCTGGCGTAAAATTGTCGATGTTGCCATATTGCCTTAGATAATATCTCCTTGTGTTTTATGTTGGTCATAAGTTTTACTCCTTATCTACGCCTTAGCAAATCTGGTATTTATTATGTGTGTGTTATGCTCTTCCTCGCTGACGACGTGCCTCAATTAATTTAGACGACTAGTGGACATTAACTCATCGTAGGGCTTTCGCGTTACCCCATCATTTGGACATGTTATTGTAGTTTTGACGAGCGTTCTTCAGTGTGCGTTCCACTATCAAGCCGGCTAAAATTCACCGTAGCGCTGAACCGGCCTGGCTGTTATTCTCGTAATGACCTGTGCGGTTTCTTTTTTTTTCATGCCTCCTCTCGTAGGACGCCAGGGGGCTACGCCGTTCCCAGCAAACCGGTCCCGATGCACCTCCACCGTTTGTTCCATTTGGAAGCCCAGAGGCCTCCGCAATGATCGACTCCTACAACCAGTTTCTGAATCGCCTTCGCAGCAGAAATCGTCGCCCAGAGGGTTGGTCCACATTGTTAACAACTTACTTTGCAATGTCACGTTGATTTTTCGTAAAAAAACTGCTGTTTTGAAAACGTGGTTACCTCATTAGTTCATACACGGTATGACAGGGTCTGTTCAAGTTAATTAAATGCTAAAACCGAATTTTTGAATATTTTATTATTGATAAAGGACAGTTTTCTATTAGTCTATGGCAATATATTCCTCTAGTTTCTGCCAGGATGCCGTGTCAGTTGATATAAGAGGTCACATCAGATTAGTTGGGACATCAGCAGATTTACTACATTATGCTGGTTTGAAAGTAGGTTCCATATACAAGATTTTTAGCAGTGATTAATAGAAAAAAATATTTCTTCGTGAATGTAACCTCCGTTGAAGGTATTATAAATTAGTTAATGTGGCATTCGAACAACAAAAGGGGTAAAATTGTAATATGTACCATCCAGAATGTTTAAAATAAATATGAGCATTATTTTTGCACCAGCATGGTGCTGCCACGTTGCGTGCAGCTCCGTTTCTTGGTGGTCGTCATTTGTGGTGTGTCGTTTGCTGCAAGCACAGTAACTCTGGGTACGGATGAATGTGTTGTGGGCCCCAGCATGTGGCCTTGAACCACGCCGGGGCCACGGAATTAAACCTGGTCAGATTACGCTCCCCCGATATCCGCGATGAAGGAAAAGTTCGGAGAAGACGTGGACACTACTGTTTACTTCAGAGCTGAACCACGCAGGTGTCGATGTGTCGTGTGTGGGGTTTGCGCGTGTCAAGACCTAGGTGTAAGGATAAACCAAGATAAATATCCGGAGGGAGTTGAGGATCCGCGCGGCTGGCGACATGCTGTGAAAAGGGGAACCCTGTGTCGGAGGTGGAGCGATCGGATTAAGGGGTGTGAATAAACACGATTCACAACAAATGCTAATTCGCATGTTCATTATTTACCAAATGAAATCTGACCACAAATCTTAGGCTGATTTTCGAAAATTATTCCTTCTGTGGGAAATTTATCCCAATTTTAGTGTTCGCTGTGTGTGTGATGAATAAGTTAGTGCATCGAGCCCCAAGAGACTTGGCTTCCAATGTCCCTCGGGATATACCAATGATGTCTTATTTCAAAAAAATTGCTATGCGTCGTCGAGTGTATTAGCAGTATTTCCGAAAAACTTACCCTCTCATCTGCGCACATGTTTTTTTTATCATCGTTGGATAAAAAATTGATGATTTTCCTTGACTGAAAAGTGTGGATCATTTGTGCCACCAACACACTGGGGTTTTTGCCGGTCACTCAGCATAGGAGTTTCGGAAAACCATGTAACGAACAAAATTACCTTTCATCTTATTCTCTTAGAGTAACTAATTTTAAGCTACTCTGGTTCATGCTGCAATTACAGCCATTCAGTTGCTCTTATTTTCGTCAAGCAGGGGCGTTTTAACCCCAAACTAATGCAAATTAGAGACTAATGAAGTTGCATTTAGCCCTATACTTTATGCCTGTGTTTGAATTGTATCGAACCGTGTTTTGTTGTTCGACAACAAGTTAGTGGTTGTGTGCAGACTTCCATCATCACCACCCATAGACAACTTGATTGCTGGTTCTTTGGCAAAAAGCTGAAGGCAACACACTTCTTTGTTTCTTATTTGTCTGTTCAGTAAACACTCTGGGCCCCGTTCTTTCTCGTAGATACATTTGACTCCCTGAAATTGGCGATGAATTCCACAACTAAGGTCAACTCTCCCATGGGAGATGATTCAGACTTTCAACAAAGACGACGGGAGATTTTGGCGGAGGCTCAAAGCGCTCTCTCCACCGGTGAGGCGGCGGCGGTGCAGCACACTTTTCGAGTTGGTGGATCAAAGTAGGTGCCTTTATGATTTCTCAGCCTGACGCGGAAATGTCCCATGTGTTTGTGTTTTTTGCATGTTTTGAACTTGAGCTGTCGGTGGTTTGACCAGTTGACTCGCTGTTGGCTGTTAAGTGTTACTAGGCTTAAAAACCAGGGAAGTGTTGCGTTTTACGCATTGACGAATTTTAGTGGAAGTTCTCAAGACAAGTCTTGCCTACTTCTTGGCATATGCTTTTTCCTTGGTTCGTTTTGCCTTCCCTGTCTCTGTCCAGCCAATGCTTTTTGCTTAGTGACATTACAAACATGCAAAGAAGTCATCTGTTGTCGTTTTTTTTACGAAGGAAGATTGCAATCAATGCTGATATAGATTAGTGCGGACGTGTATGACAGACAGTTTGCGTTCTTGCGTCCCGGTGGTGCGATTCGTAATACTAAAAGCTGGAAGTATTGGTTAAGTGATTGCTCTGAAATCCCTAAAGGGGCTGAATGGTCGTCGAAAACAACTCGAAACTTTCTCTAACGAGGACGCATTTTGGGGCAAGCCACGTTTGGATTTCGCGTATCTCTACTTATTCTAATACTCTGCTCATTTGGCGTTATAGGTCTAATTTATTTCCAAAACATTAAGCCAGTCCAAATCTTTCATGATCACACTTCCAAGCGCACCTTGATGTCTGTCGCCTTTCTTGGGACAGACTTTCTCTGTTCCTAAATCCCTTGGCTCTGCCTTACGTATGATTACTCATTCAGGTAGCCAAGCTGGTTAGTCCTGTTGCGGAAAGGCTTTCAGAGGCACACGAGTGTGCACACGAGTCGGGTATTTAGTTATGTGCATAAGAATTAGAGCTATGGTCATGTCGATAACATGAAAATTTTGATTTATATGCTTTTGGAGATTGTGCCGAGAGTAACAGTACGTGATAGCCATCTCTTGTCACTCAGATTGACAAGCACGAAGGTTTTTAATGCGGTTTTACATGATAGCTGTTTTCATACAGGTGTTGTGAAGTTGATTTCGACAGTGTAACAGAACAGTGGTGTCAGATTTCGTTTAAAATTTAACTGTAATGAATTTTTTCCCAAAACTCAACAAACTAGTCAACTCATAATTACACCGGGCCGCCAATTAACTGTGTAGGATATTGTAGAGATGTTGTTAAATGTATTGCATACACACACGCACGCAAAAATTGAAATCGCCTTAGATTTTTGAAGACCCAATAAGTAGGTCGATCTTTGGGTTCCGCAAGAATTAAAGGAATTTCCCTTGATGCACCGATTCGATTTTCACAGTGTGTGCGTGTTCTGAATTCGGTAAAATCGTTACTCTTTTGAAGAAGGTATCATCACTGTAATGAAAAGTGTGTTATCTTTAATAATATAAATAAAAGCCGGTCTTGATGCATGCGTTATAATCTAGGACAAGCCGCAGCGAAATCTGGATTGCATCAAGAAGACTAAGTCAATACGGTCTTGTCACCCAAAAATGCCAATTGTATACACTCAGCAGCAAGTAGTGAAATTCGCGGAGGCTATCAGGGAAAACCACCTTGAACTTTTAAAGCGCAAAAGACAACCTCTTCCGTGACATGCCAGGCCACACACATTTCTGGCAAATTAGTAAATTATTGTAGCTTGGCTGGGAGGTGTTGCTGCATGTTCTGTATGAATCTAACTGTGTGCTATCAAATTGCACTTTATTTTGAACTTCTCAAACTCCTAGCACGGCAGAGCTTACACTTGTGGTGGTGACGAGTATCTTATTTGGTTTAGTTCTTTGCTGACAGTGACGGCAAATTCTGTGAGCATGAAATCAAGGAGTTGTCAGAAAAAGGCAAAAGATAATCGAAGAAAGCCGAAATCACAATGTTTCTCAAAGTTCAATCCATTATAAATAATCGTATGCCACACAATATACTGGTTGACGATCTTACTATGACAGTGAACGACAGGGAGCATGTCGTGGTGTGCTTTATATTTCTTGTATCTGGTGTTACTTCGGATGTACGGCAAGACGTGAAATCTGTCAAGATGGTTTCTGTGGTTTCCGGCACCCCTGTGTTAAATGAAGCGGTTATTACGACCTGTAATTATTGGTTCGTCTTTAATGGCTTTAGTTTTGAAATGTGTTGAATACTCTTTGGAAAACGGAATCATGGAATAACTGCTGCAATATTATAGTTTTTGGCAAAGGCCCTGCTACTTATTTTAAATCCTTGAAAATCAACGGGACCATTTTACTGCACAGTACTTGTTTAGTAAATCTGCTTTACCTTCGATTGGTACCATTACTGGTTACATTAATTGGCTAGTTTCTTCTTTAAGTCTGACTAATTTTTCGTTTGCTGAAGCGTGTAAAACCTAAATTCCTTTCTTGCTAAATTGTTTTGTTGCATGTTGGCATGAGTTTGGTGACATCCACCTTTTTGCCGAATGGTAGGTGTTTTGTCCTGCCCGTGGTTTCTGAAAAGGGTGAACAGGCTACACCAAATCCAGCAACACAGCCCTCTCTCATATTTAATTTGTGCAAATTTCTATTTTGTCGGTGTAGTTTGAAGAACATGTGACCAATACTGAATTAGTGTGGAATTTCTCCAAAACTCTACATTTGTGGCGATAACGTAACATAAACAGAAAAAGCCGACCTGTAAGTTACTATAGTGATCATCTCGAGTGTCTGCACGTCGGTGGCCCATAGGATTGCGCTTTCACTCATTGATCTGCTTCGCACATACTTGACAATCGACATGATCGAATCAAGGCTGTCAGGCCGGTATCAAGTGTGGGCGATTTCATAGACTTGCTTGGGAGTCCTGAAGAGAACCGATTGTAATAATCCCATTGGGCTGTCACACTTCACTGCTTGGACAAATGCAAGACTGCTTTGGAGATTACATAGTCAGTGGAACTCTCAGACTCTGTACTGCTTTGATATTTATCGTGGGACAATTTCAGCCTGCTAATTATTATTGTCACGCTAAAGTAAAACCGCGATCTGAAGCCGAGGTCATCAACCCACATGGCTGAGGTTGATGTTTTAAACAACTGAGCAATCGCGATATACGTGGTAGGTAAGAGACATGAGACTCGAGGGGAGGGAATAAGGCACGTCTCCACAGTGGGGAGTGTTGGGTCGTTGTAAGACGGTCGCTGTTTGGGGTTGAGGACAATTGAATCAGTGAGGCATAGGCGTGATAGAGGCACACTAGTATGAGCATCAGTGGAAATTAAGCGTACCGCGGAATGCGCGTAATTCACGTGTTGTTTCCAATGGTGAAACCTGGCACATGAATTAATCGGGTGCAGGAGCAAATAAACGTCCTGGTTTTGGCGTACCAAAAATCTCATCTTAATGTGGCCTCGAAGGTGCTCAACAGAAAGATTTTGGGACAACCGAGATTCTTTCAATGGAAATTGTCCCTGATACAAAATTTTGGCTCTATGGAGTGAAATCCATGACGCTTTAGACTGCTAGAATCATTTGTTAAAGGTTATCTTATTGTAGGAGACTGCCGATAAGAGCACGTAAGTCAAAAGAGCATGTTATTACCAGAATACGGCCCCTCCCTTTGTCTTGCTCGCTCCGGAGTTTTACAACAGGCTACATTTTTGTCACCACGATGGCAATAATCAGTTTTCTGGTTAATTACCTGTTAGGCATCTCTGGCGCCTGGAGTTGGCACAGCCAAACAAGCGGTTGAAAAAGGGCTGGATGCGTGTTTTGGTGTAGGCTAGTGTGGGTGGTGGTGATTTAAACTTCTCCTCGGTCTAGTTTGGGCGCGGTAAATGCACCTCTTTTCCCAGTCTTCTCATCTACTTGGTGTTCGAATCGGCGAGCTTGGAGCCCTGGCGTTGTTTGGTGTTTTTAAGGGATAGGCTTCAAGTTGCCTCTGAATCCAGATTGTATCAAGCAAATTTTCGTAGTGAGTACATTTTTGTGCAAGGTCGTGTCAGTTTGGATTTGACTTTTTAAATTCAGATCACAGCTAACATGATAGCTTGTTGAGATGTCTTGTAGTGCTCAGTACCACTTTGAAATGATGGCTTCCACAGTTTAAAAATGATCTCAAATGCAATTATTATCACCTTTAAGTCACTAGTTGCTATTAGGAAAAACCAGTATTATTGACCTGCGTCCTTCTTATTCTTTAGATTTCAGCAAGAGCGTGTCAACATGGCGATTGAACGGGACCGCAACTTAGCCCAGCTGGTTTCTATGGGTTACCAGCCACACGAGGCCAGTGTCGCCTTAGAGGAAGCGAAGAACAATCTGGAAGGCGCAATTGATCGGCTAACGTCACGACAGTTTGGCCGTTCCCTTGACATTAGACGTGAAACAAGGGATCACGGACGCGGCAGACGTGGTGGCGGCGGCCGTGTTCGCGGACCGGAAGAAGGACGTGGTCAACGAGGTCGCGGCCCTCACTTTGACATTGAAGACGATCCGTGGTTTGATCCTGTAAGCTTTTTTCAACTTTTTTTGATCAAATTTTAAGTTATCACTATTTAATCTTTGAAGTAGCCGTGATATCACTTTTTAGCAGTTAGATTGTATAACAAAAGCAAAAACCTGGGAAATCTCCGATGTTAACACCGTTCTCTAAGAAATCAATGTTGCAACCAATGAATTAGGGAAGATACCAAAAGCCGTATTCAAGCATCCCAATCTAATACATTGCAATAAGAACTTGCCAAAAGTTGAACTTTCAAACCTGTTTCTCTTGCCTCTAGTTGATGTCCAAGCAAACCCAAAATTTCAACTAAAAGCCAATCTTATCACCGATTCAGCGCATCTGTAGTTGCTAAATCAAGAGGAAACCAATGAAGCATTAATTCCGGGAAATATAACAATGCGACGTTGTTAGGTTGATTGTGTTGCAAGTAAAAATATTGTCTTCGAACGAAGCGACAATATTAGCCATTGTGTCGTGTAGTATTGCTGGAAAAAACCAATCTGGGAATTGCAACGGCTTCTACAAAATCTAAACTTCGACATACGTGAAAGGCCGCGACGGCACTTCAAAAGACCAACGCATAAACGGGTGTCCATAAACCCCAAATGAACACAAACAATACCACAAAGAGTGGGCCAAAAGACCTCCTCACTGATGTGAAAGTCAGATAATGTTACGACGAAAGTTGTGGCTAACACATGTACTACAAATCACTCAATTCACCTAACGCACTCTTCGCGCTCAGTCTGTATTTTATGCTTTTCATATCTCGTTTCTCGAAGTCCAAGATTCAAACCCACATTTACTTTGTACGGCGTCATGAATCATTCGTACCTTTCTAAAATGTTTTTTTTAATTGTTAGATTGAATGTAGGATAAATCATTTTCATGAACGGGTTATAAGGTATAAGGTTTCCCATTCTCTCAATTTTACTCCCTTGTTCTCTCGACGAGGTCGCTGCCGCTGAACAGTCGGGCCTTCGCGGAAAGCCCTCGAGTGGGCCTGTGCCCCTTTCCGAGTTTATGGAGAACCCACCGCCTTCAGCAGTGCAGTCGAAGAAGGACATCCAGTGGCGGACAGGTGTCGCTGCGCAAAGCGCCAGCCAAAGCACGCGCCTCCCACAGGGCACCATCCTCTTAGCCCCCGTTATGTCCGGGGAATTTGAAGCAGCTCGTCTAATTGGTATGCTGCCCGACAGGGTGGAAGGTGAACACGTGGCTGTCGTATCCTATCTGCAGGGAGACGAGGAGCACGTACCTGTCAGCATGCTTCGTACTATGGAAAAGGGAGAGGTAAATGTTTATTTTCCCGTCTTTCACACTCCTTATCATCTCCTGCGTCTCATTATCTTCGATTCCAACTCCAGGGCTGAATTTAGATTCGGTCCATTGGTCTCATTCTCGTTGACTTACCGAGGCCCAGACAAGCGTGAGTATTCTCGTCCATCGTAAATGCAGGACTCTCCATCACTACCCACTTAGAAGAGACGGTTTTTGATACAAATTCCCTCTCTCTGCAGTGTAGTATGTATCTGTATCTTAATTTTCTAGGTGACCGCCGATATGCTTCCCGTCCTTCGAGTTGCGGAGTCTCCTCGGACGGGACCGTCAAATAGAGGCCAACCAAGTGGCCCTCGTCAGCACTCTGGCGGTAGAGGTGGTGGCGTAGCAGGGAGGAGAGGAGGGGCAGGCCAGTTTGGCGGGCCGTCCCGGCGTGGACGCGGGCGTGGCAGACCTCGACGCATTTAACCACGTGGTCCGCACAATGCATCATGCCCGCCTGTAGTTATATTATTTCTCCTATCACAATAAAAAGACCCATCTAGTCGATGCCCGTGTGTACGTGGCGTTAGAGTTGCTCAACTGTTAAAGCAAACTGCGAGGAAATTATTACCTGTGTCATGAAAGGACGATTACGTCTATTGAAAGAGTGTACCAAATTTTCTTTTTCGGTTAACTGACATTCCAAATAGTACAGTGGTCGTCAAGTTTAAGAATTCTCAAAAAATCGGCCTTTGCATTGGTTTAGCCGCTAAAGACATGATTCTTGCCCAAGTGGTGTGTCTAATGCGCAAGAATCAAGTTGATGTCGGGTTTCGTTCGTCATTAGGGGATCTGTATGGGGCCAATTTCTCGCACAAATTCATTTTCTTCATTAACTTGCATCAATAAAACTCCTATCCACAAAAATCAGCGAACCACTAGTTGAACAGGTCTAGCATCTACACACAGGCACGCTTTTGAGTGATCGTTGTTATGCCGAAATGGCCTTTACTGCCTGGAACAATGTGCCTATGCACTCAAATGCTCTTTCCTGACGCCTGACACTTTAACTTCTCATTCCACAAATCAGTTCTAGCTGTTTTTGCCCCTAGCATAAAAGTGCATCCTCACAGTTGCCGTTTTGCTGCAATATGTATGCTATGCAATGAGTGTCACTAAATTTCAATTTATGTTATGGATATTTGAAAATTGTACGAGATAGTTCGTTGTGTGTTTGTCCTTAATTATAAATATTCGTCCTGTTGTAAAGTACTCATCAAGGACAACCGTTTATTATCAACTGAGAACCCTCAGTGAGGTTGTTAATTTCAAATTTCCCAAAATAACCAGACTGCAAGAAATAATTATAGGTTTCGCGCAAATAGCCACCATGAAATCTCGGCTCCCTAGTCTGGGTTCAGCCCCGCTTAAAGATGTGCAGGTCTCACTGTACAGCACCATCGAAGCCTCATTGTTGGGACCTTGACTCTCCAAGAACCAGCCTGTTGCACCCGTAAATTGGGAATCCAGCTGTTTTTCCAATTAATTATCACACTACCTAATATTTTTATCAGCGACAGTGCATTGTTTCAGGTTTTTTTGGAAAAAATCAACACAGACTAGAACAATAAGGCAGTGAGTAGTGTCTCCATAACTTAGTAATGAAACGGATGCTGTCATGCAATGATTAGATTTTAACTTCAAACTTGTCATTATTCCTCTTGCAACATTGACATACCCCTTTCTCTTCAGCTTGACTACATTGTTAGTCCTGAGTGCCAGTCAGGCACGAAGTCAGCCTTGTTTTTTCATATTAATGCCTGATTGTAAGTCTCTTATTTCAGTTCTCGTGGCTGGTTGACTGGCACATCTTTGACAGCACTACTTATTTAAGCAGTGCTCGTGTGGACTGCTTTCGTATTTTAGAGTCAGTGCCTAAGCTGTTTTTGGTAAAAAATGCTAGGTAGGTGTAATTATGTGTTTTGGAATTTGTAGAAATCGGAGTGCATTACTTGTGTGGGCCTCAATTTAGTAGTCAGGGTTTGTTCATGATAGTCCCTACTTCAAATCAAATTTGTGCCACTTTCTAATGGGACTTCCAGATACTTGATGTATTTTTTTTAATAAACTCTTGTAAATTTTATGGTCAACATGGACAAAATCCCGCAGTCATCAAAAACAAATCAAATTAATTAAATTCAATATTGTATGTGTCATGGTGCTGTTTTAAAAAAGAATCTTATTAATAGGACGATGTTATACCCATTTTCATTGGTCTGAAGGATAAACGGCCGCTTTCCTATTTAATGACCGGAAACGTGAGTTCCGGTTTTAACAAGTTGGTCATTACTGTCGTGTAACAGAATCTAGATAGGTGCATGCAAACGAAACGGATACAGACTTATTTGGGTTTCTGTAAAAAAATAATTGCAATACGGTGTAGTTGGTAGTGCTCGCTAAAAGCCTTCAGCATTTTCTTTACCACGGTTATTAATAAATTGGTCACGGTTAAGACGAACCTTTCGTTTAAAGCCAACATCGTCGCGTGTGGTGCAAGCATAAAATTGTGATAATTGAATGCGGCGCCACATGCCACTCTCGCTGGCCCTCTCCCGTCGACGCTGGCAAACGCCTCGACTCTCAACTCAGTCCGGCTACAACTTTTTTTCTGCGTATGCTTGGCTTTCACTTCAGACCTACCCCATCGTCAGTGGATTTAATGCAGCTGTAATAATCACTCAGCTAACTAAAAAATACAATTGTCTTCGTGCTGTTCACAACAAGGTGATTGTACAAATTTCCCTCACAGTATGTGCTCACCTGGGATTTAGGGGCAAATAAAATAGTTTGTGTTGTGGCAGTCATCACGCGAACCTTCTCAGTAGACATGAGCGGACGAGAATTCAGTCAAGTCTTTCGCATTGTGAGTACACGTCACATTCGTTCAGGCATTGAATGTCAGGGGTTCCTGTTTAAAGCGACGTGTCATGTCACGCAAAACTACTGCTCTCTTGCTGACGCAATAAGACAATTCAACCCCTCTCTTTCGGTATCATTTCGCCCATGCCACTAAAGTGTCACGACCTTTTTGCAAAAATCAGGATTACGAGTCTAAAACAACAATCTGAATTTTCTATAAAATTTTTTTTGCTTACCTTGATACCGATTCTCGTAGTAATCTCAAAACTATGTCACTGTAGCCCTAATTTTTGAACCTCATAAGTCCATTAGAAAAAATTTCTACTCAATTCGAATTTATGCTTAGATTTTTAACATCTAGTAAGTATTCTGTGGTTGCTTGGCTCCGATAAGTTGTTTTAATTAATGGTGACTAAATGAATGAGAGAGATCGGGGATTCGTTTAGCTCAAAGGCGGTGATTTTAACTGTCACTGGGATCAATGGTAATGAAAAAAAGCATAGGAGAATCCAGATTTGTTCGCGTGAGGACCCACTCCAAAATTACTTTACATTAGAAGCTGCTAAATGCATGAGGCATGCTCAAAAGCCAAACTGACTTACTTTTCACTGAATGCATAGGCTGCTTCAAAACCAAGTTTATCGTCATTTCGCCATGTAAAGGTTTCCCAGAATGACGATTGTTTCGGTTTATTGAGGAGTTTCCCTTTATCATTATTATTATTATGCTTCATATGTCCACCAGTTTGACATTACCCAAGCTATGTTCACCGCTCTCCAGGTTGGATAAAGAAGGGGAGTGTTGTGACACTTTATTTTTCAATGTTAGCAACCAAACGGAGATATTGGGGCTCCGAAAAATGATTCGAGTTCGCTGTGCTGGAGTCACTCCACCAACTAATGCTACTACGAGTTTCGTGACCAATTCAATTTCCATGGCACGGTGTACATGACCCTTACCTGTGTCCGCAATGAGCTGTCGTACTGTTACACATGAATATATTTTAGCCTGTCTAAACATGCAGATTAAATAAACTACTGATGTACTGGGCCCATTGTTAATTTGCTTGAAAAGAATTCCTCCCAATTAGTCCTCGCACAAATTCCTTTTGGCAAGGTTGTTATGCCCTTTGGTATGGGAAAGATATGCTAGCTTTTTATAGGGTGTTTAGAAAGAGGGACTCAAACTGTTAAAAATAATCTTGTCCATGACAGAAGGACAAATTTTTGGGCACGCTACCCTGAGAATTGTTGATATGACCTTGACAATTTTCCGCTCCACCCACATCCCTTTAGGAGGCTTCGTCTTGTTGAACCTACTTTAAACACAGTAGTAAAAGAACACGAGTCTCGTAAAAAGCTTTGCTGCGGATTTCACTTCAGAATAAATCGCCTTGTTGTAGTTGTTTGCGTTTAGTCTCTTCATTTACGTTCGCGAACGAATGTTAACATTTCCTAACTTCATAGTCGATGGGAAAATATTTCGACGAAATTTTGCATGGGAAAAAATCGTCACGTACTAAAGAAACACTTTATCACGTTGAAGACAGCTTTGAAAACCATATATTCCTCATATTTCACCCAGTATTTTCGGAATAGTACAGAATTTGTCATTACCTAAGATATTGTTCTGAATTATTGATAAGAGGACAGAATAGATAACTGTTTGAAAAACATGGACGATATTTTAAGCGTGACGTTATGCCAGAATAACGCAGGTTGGTAATACGATGATCCTAAGTTTGTTGTGATTTGAGTCATCAAAACAATAACACTAGATTTATTCCACTCAAAAATTTGCTTAATTTCTCCGTCTTTGCGTCTGCGTTGTCAGTAAAAGCACTAGTGAAAATACTGGTTCAAATGAATGTTTTGAGTATATTTAGTTAAGCCGTGGCGTATTAATTGTAGACGTGTTTCTTAATTGCGGAATAAAGAGGACGCTTGCAAAAAACTAGTCTAGAAGCCTAGTTATTGGGTTGATTCCGCCTAACACGTAAGTTCATATCGTTGGCCTTGGCGTTCGATTGCCACTGACCACAAGCGGGTCAAAAATTTTACAACAACAGCTTCCAAAACTACGATTTGTCATGTCGTCTAAATTCGTGTCCCTGTCTCTGCATTAGGCTTATTGAAACCCCAACTTTTAGAACAAGACGAAAAAAAAAAGCAGAAAAATTCTTGTTAATCAACGTTTTGGGTAACATTCTCGTTTGACAGATTTCTTTTGCCTGTCACATTCCGTTACAATGTAACGTTTGTTAAGGCCTATTAATCTCACGGCAACTGTTTTTCTTAATCAAGTGTCAGTAAATTGCTGTTTTTCTCTTGTCTTAAGCAGTAATTATATTTTTAGCTTAAATATCTACTTTCCGAAGCAAACCTCGCAATACTTCATGAATGTGTGCAATAAAGTGTCTACTTTAGTAGAAATTGCAGCTGAAACAAGGGTTAAGGATACTGGATCAAATAAATCAGGCGCAAGCACCAATGGACAAACACATTTTACGGTGAAGTGGAAATCTCAGAATGTCCCACATCACGGGAAATTCTGCTGTTCCAGGAACT